AGGGTCCAAAAACCTATCCCTACATCCTCAAGGTCTCCTCTTCTCCCTCTCAAATTCCTTATACAAGTGTCAATGTCTCAATCTTCGATTATTACTTCTTGGATGTTTACTGTGCAAAAAAACCAAACAGAGATGTGGTTATGAATTTAGCTAACAGTACAGGAGGGTAACATCAAGCCAGTGCCTGAATTTCTGGGTTCAGGAAGGAGGGGATATTCTACCCGGTGAACAGGGAGCCTGTGTTTCCACAGTGCCTTTGGATGAGTAATGGAACATTGGTATTTTTCTTTTTCCCAAACAGAAATTAATCACTGGGATGAAAAGGATCCATAGAGTGCTGAGGTTTTGCATAATTAGAGCCCAAGCATTTTAATAAAATTGTGTTTGGTAGGATATCAGTGCTCTGTAGATATAAATATCTCTTTAATCAAAAACAAAGACAAGTTAACAGTAGAAGTAATATTCTTCTGAATTTTTAAAAAATAAACAGAAGAAAATGGTAAATATATTTAAGCCATTGTTTACAAAATTTGAAATACTTGCTTTGAAATATTTTATTGTGTCATAAGTACATATAAAAACATTTTTTGCTACTTAAAAAAATACAAATACATATTTTTAACTCATTAACTCTTACTTCTGTTCAATAAGTAAAATTGTCTTTACTAGTTTGGAGAAAAAATATGATCAGAAGAAACGTGGCCTACAAAATTTTAATAAACTATAAACTCCAAGTAATAAAAACAATTTAGAATAGAGTAAGAACAGACAAAGGTAATGGAAGAGCAGAGGCAGCCCAACAACTGACCCAGACGGAAAGGCGTATTTGGACTAAATGGTTCAGTAAATGATGTAGCAAACTAACTATCAATTTGAAAAAAAACATTCTTTTTGATCCTTACCTCACACCAATTTAATTTCCACCTAGACTTTGCAAAAATTTACATACAGAAAAATAAAATGATAAATATTCTAGAAAATAATGAGAATGCGTATCTTTATAGCCTTCGGGTGGAATGGACCTTTCTACATATAACAGAATTTAAGATGACATTGAAGCCTCAAGGACAGAATAGATCTTGCAATAAACTGAGCCAGTGACAGGAAGCACACACTGAAACACAGTTTCCCAGAATTAAAGAGAAATGTAGTTTTATAGCAGTTTGTGAAAAATAATGAAAGGTAATTATGAAAAAAACGATGGCAGTTATTTCGTGGAAGAAAGACGTAAGAACAAAGGAAACAAATATGAAACATCTAATGTACTGAAAGAAAGTGTTCCCAAAGACTTGAGTTAACAGAACAACAGAGCATGCAGAATTACTAAAAACCAGTGAAATAACTTGTCCAAGGTCACACAACTGACTGGTACAGTTGCATTCTACATCCAGACCTGCCTCACTCTCAAGCTCACGTTCTTCTTTCTCCCACACGTGTCCACTAGCCGTCAAAAAGGACTCTCTCTGCATGCAGTGTGGGGCTCTGGACTGAATCCAAATCAGAAAAGGAACATTATTGGAAAACCTGGTGAAATTCTAATAAAATCTAGAGTTTAGTTAATAGTAACATGACAATGTTAATTTCTTAGTTTTGATAATTATATCATAGTTATGTTAAGATGTTAACACTACAAAACTGGTTAAAGGGTATGCAGCTGTGCAACTTTACTGTAAGTCTAAAATTATTCTAAAATAAAAAGTATGTTAAAAAAATAAAACAAATATCTCAAAAACAGTGCCTTGGGTATTATTCCTAAAACTTACAAGAGATTTATTGCATAAAGTCAAATCTTAATAAGGGCATGCTTTGCATTAAAGACTTTGATTATAATAGGCTCAATGATTTTAAAAATAAATATCTGCCTCAATTATATAGCTTTTAAAAAAATAGTTCTTGAATAGCTTTTTGTATACCATTTTTCTTTTCCTGTGGATAAAAATACAGAACACTATAAATAGCAGTCTTTTAAAACAAGAGGTGATCTGGTTGTGATGAACTCCTTTCCATTTCTGCTACAGACTTGAAAAAAGTTCTGGGCTTGTAACAGGCAGAATTAAATTTGGAGGATTAATAGAACTGCCTGATTTAAGGAGCTGTCAGATGAAAGAATCCGGACTTCAGAAATAAATGAATCCTAGGAGCGAAAAAGCTCGAGCATATAATTAAGTAGAAAACTCAAGGGGGTTTGACTAGGTAACGAAAGGGGGAAAAATATTGAAAAAGAGGGAGGGTCAAAAACCCAAATAAAGGACATTAATGAAAATCCAGGCTTATGGTGTCTCTAAGGAATGGAAATGTGATAAATTATGAAATGGGGGAACAATAGTAATAAGAATAGCGTTAACTCAGATCATATCGCTGCCTCACTCAAAGCCTTCCAATGGCTCCAGTCACCCACAGCATGAGCCAGAGATCCCTGGGGACCTTGGGGACCTAGCCCTGCGCCCCATCACTGCTCTGACTGCATCTTCTGTCGCTGCCCCTCTCTCTCACCTGCCTCCAGAGCCCCTGTCCCCGTGGCGCGTCCCAGGCACTCGGGCCTTTGCACTGCTCACNCCTCGCCTGCCTCCAGAGCCCCTGTCCCCGTGCCGCATCCCAGGCACTCGGGCCTTTGCACTGCTCATCTCTCCGCCTAGAATGTTCCTCCTCCACGTATCACCACGGTTCACTCCTTCGCCCCCTTCAATTTTTGCTGAAATGCTAACTTTTCAGTGATTTACTACTAGTAAGACTCCATTTAAAATAGTGATCCCCCAGAACTCCCAGCGTCCCCTNTGCTCAAATGCTAACTTTTCAGTGATTTACTACTAGTAAGACTCCATTTAAAATAGTGATCCCCCAGAACTCCCAGCGTCCCCTACCTTGATCTTACATTTTCACGGCTGCTTCCACCATCTAACCCTTCAATGACATGGAATGTCTGTTTCCACAACCACTAGAATGGACACGCTCAGATTTTTGCCTGTGTTTTCACTGATGTTTCCCCAGTGCCTAGAATGTTACTGGACACATAGTGGGTTCTCAGTAAGTATTTGCTAAATCAATCAATGCACAAATGTGATTTATTTCACTATCATCATTAAATTAAGAGTAATAAAACACTGGAAACTTCTCCAATGTTATTTTTGAGCAACCAGAGTCATCTTTTTGTTTATCTATGTTTTCTGGGTATTTTCTGCACTGAACAATTACTTCTATAATGTTTTAAAAGAGGGTTTTGTTTTATAAGACAAGAGAGTTATCTGTGATGATTTCATGTCAGGTCCACTCACTGTGAGAGTCAGAAGGATATATTCTTTAGAGGCCTGTTCTTATAGCTTAAGTAGCACTTATTACCAGAAAGGGCTTCCCTTAACAAAAACTTCTTACCAAAAAACTGTTGAGCAGCATGATCCACTAAGCTGATAGAATCATGCGATTCCAACCTCCTCATTTTAAAAATGAAGAACCCGAGGCCTAGAAAAGTTGTCCCTTCCTCACTGTCGGCTGGAACTGAGCTTATGAACAGGAACTAGCCCTCAACACAAGACTGAAATCCTGAGAAATGGCCTAGCCCTAGCATGTTGCAATGCAGTAAAACTCCAGACTGAAAATTTTCAGTTCACCGTTTGACTAAACCTTCATTTTCTCCAACTTATTTCCAATCCATTGCTCAATAATGCCTGTGAGCAGTTGCTTTGTATTATTTGAATATTCAAGATTCTCTTTGCATTAAGATCACTAGCAGAGCAAACAATGTGATCACCTAAGTATTTTCACATGCTCGACAGCCACTGTACCTTCCAGGACCCACTCAACTTTCAGCCTCTTGCCCAGGCCCTTTGCTTTCCCTGTCCAGAGCAGTGTGAGGACAGAATATTTTTACAATTTCATACTCTTTTCAGTGGCTAGATTATCAATTAACTTCATGAAATCAAATGGAAGCAGCTTGAAGGATCTAAAAATGCATCACTTCTCTTTTACAAAAAAGCTAATTCTTCTGCTGAAAAACTGCACATGTTCTATTGTTTTGTCCTAAGTGGGGGGAAAATCTGGCATGGAATTTATTTTCTTCAGAGGTAGCAGCAGCAGTTAATCCACACATTCCCCGAGGCCCCAGTCATCTCCAATGTTCAAGCAGTACACAGGCAGATACTTTGGCAAAATCCTCTATAAAATGAAGTTAGAATGGACCAAAACAACCTACTGATTTTTACTACAATTCAAAACACAGTTTTCTAAATGGCACACACCAAAGAGGACAGGGACAGATGCCCTGCAAAATGGGAGAAAAAAAAGAATAAAGGACAATGACATTAGCAAACATCTCAGTGTTCCCTGGGGTGGTTGATTTAAGTCTGAAGAACTGAGAAGCTTGGCTGCTCATTGACGGATACTGTGCTCACAGCCAGGAAGCCTGGGCANTGTTCCCTGGGGTGGTTGATTTTTTAAGTCTGAAGAACTGAGAAGCTTGGCTGCTCATTGACGGATACTGTGCTCACAGCCAGGAAGCCTGGGCATCCAGTAGACCTCAAGAGAACAGAGCCCCGTTACCCTCTGAACACTTGAACACCCTCTTCAAAGCCCAAAGTTATTTTTCTTATTCACAGTCTCCCTCTATCTGTAAATGGCGGAGCTGTCTACACTATATTGTAAACACTTTATGTACAAATACAGCATTCAGTTTGCTGCAAGCAAATATTTTCCTTAGCGATCCTTAATTAGACAAAATGTCTTCAAGCCAGAGACCTTTGGAAGGGGGAGCAGGATCAGGACAGAGACCTTTGGAAGGGGGAGCGGGATCAGGACAGAGACCTTTGGAAGGGGTGCGGGATCAGGACAGAGACCTTTGGAAGGGGGAGCGGGATCAGGACAGAGACCTTTGGAAGGGGTGCGGGATCAGGACAGAGACCTTTGGAAGGGGGTGCAGGATCAAGACAGAGACCTTTGGAAGGGGTGCGGGATCAGGACAGAGACCTTTGGAAGGGGTGCAGGATCAGGACAGACCAGCCAGGACTTACCATGGCCCCCTCACTTCTCCTTTGGGCAACTTCTCGCTGCAGTCGGGCCACAGCCAGCTTCTCCCTGGAGAAACAGAAGAGCAGGATTACTTGACCACTCTTCTCGGGGGAGAGGTGCACTGGCATGACTCGGAAACATTCTTTTGAGGTCTCCAGAGGAACTCTTTCCTTGGTTTAGCTCACTTCCTCCACTAAACTTTCTATAAATATTTAAAGTGAATGGTCATTAGTGCATTGTTTTCATTGAGTGTCATGAAAGAGATTTTTTTGCCTTGGGTTTTAAAATAGCCAAATAAATGTTGACTGTTGAATATAAGCTTTACTTTAAGTTCATTGACATATATCATTTGTAAATAAATTTTCTGTGTCCTTTCTTTATCAGCTTTGCTCATGTATATTTTTAATTGTTTTTATTTCTTTGTTGATCAATACTGATACTAAATTTTAAAAGGCAAACAAAACATATTGTATCATTCTTGAAATGATAAGAGAAAATCACTTGCAGGCTTGCTATGTAACAGGCACCATGTGGGAACTTTCACCTGATCTTACATGAGCCTGACAATCATAGGTTTTATCCCCATTTTATAGATATGGAAACAAGGGCTCAGAGAGGTTAAGGAGCAAGCCAAGCCCTCAGCTGGTATGTATATTAGGATCAAAATTAGGCTTTCCTCACTTCAAAGCCTGAATAAAATTTTTGCATGTCATTTTTCAGGGTTCAGGAAAAATTGTGCATATCCTCTTTCAGGATCTAGAAAATATGTAGAATTAAAACTCAGATTATTTATTTTAGTATTCTTTATTTTACAGTGGGGTTCATTTGGTATCTGTTAAAATTGCAATTCTAATTTCACTTCCAAAAATGCTATTATTTCCCGGAATTTTAAGAATATTTTTAAAGTGACAGATATCTGCATTTTGGACAGCTCTTCAATTATTCTTTAAAAAGTTGATAGACTGCCCAACCAACATGGACCAGTGGTTGAGTGTTAACCTATGAACCAGGAAATCACAGTTTGATTCCTGATCAGGGCATATGCCCAAGCTTCTGGTGTGATCCTCAGCAGAGGGTGTGCAGAAGGTAGCCAATGACTCTCTCATCATTGATGTTTCTATCTTTCCCTCTCCCTTACTCTCTCTGAAATCAATAAAAATAAATAAATAAATAAATAAATAAATAAATAAATAAATAAATAATAAAATAAGATAAAATAAAATAAAATAAAAAAGTAAATAAGTAAAAAGTTGATAAATGAAGTAAGGGTAAGTGGTGAACTCTTCCAGTAATCCTCAAATCTTAGTTTTAGCAAAGATTTTCCCTTGAAATGTTTATATTGCTATGAAGATGTGAAACTATTTGAATGATATTACAATCATGAGCCCTCCCTTGAGATTCCTCCCCTCCTAACTGCTTGGGCCTTTGGAATATCTATGACTGCCAAGAAGGCATGTGCTGGGGTCTGGTCACGATGGCAGTGTAGGGAAACATGGTACTCAAATCCACATCAAAATTACAACTAAACTATAGAAAACCATAATTCAGAACTGCCTGAAATCTAGTTGAACAGAAGCCCTACAACTAAGGATATAAAGAAGAAGCCACACAGAGAATGGAAGGAGAGGCAGAGACACAGAACAGGCTGGTCCCATACCAATGTGTGGTGCATAAAAATTGAGAGGGATAGCTCAGCTAGGACTCCCTGAGGATTGAGGGGACCTAGCCCCACATCAGAACCCCAGGCCCAATGTTCCAGTGCCAGAAAGAGAAGCTCCCCTAACTTCTGACCATAAAAACTAGCGGGGGTTGAAGCTGAAAAAGACAGAGGGCTGTTGGAGTCCCAGCCAGTTCCTCTTATAGGGCTTGCACATGAACTCAGGTGTACTCCCCCACTTTAAGCTTCAGTGCTGGGGCAGCAGCTCAAAAGGCACCAGGGACATATAGGGCGGGGTTGAGTTGTCTGCCTTCAGGGAGAGAGACGGAGTAGCAGCTTTCTCCCAGACAGAAGTGCTGGCAGAGGCCATTGTTCCTTTGATGAGCCCTCCCCCAACAGAGAGGGCAGGTAGGCATACCTGAGTCTCAGTCAACTTGGCTAACACTGCTCACCCTAACCCTAGTCCTGGTGATTCCCTGAGATCCCGCTCCATCCAGCTTACAGGCCCACCCAAATTGTTTCCAGTAGCTATTCCATACCAACAGCCTGACTTGAATCATGCTTCAGACTTTCCTGAAATCTCTCAAACAAGCAGCATCTGGCCTCTGAGTGCCCTGTATCTCTCGCTAAGTGGCCCCAGGCCTGGCACCAGCAGCAGTCAGCTTTGGTTCGCAACTTGGCCTCTCCTGGGCACCTCCAAAACCAGCACGAATAGCTGCCATCTGCAGATTGCTCTGTAGCTCATGCTGGGTGGCCCCGGACAGGACACAGGTGATGGCTGACCTTGGCCTGCAGCTTCTCTGGAGGTCCCAGAGCCACCTCCACAAGCAACACACTCAAGGGATGGACTCAGAGAGAACCAGAGTCCTGCTGAAGTAAGTTGTGTTCCCTGGTGTTGGCCCCTGCATAGTTGATCCTCCATGGTGGCTGCAGTCAGTCCTTGCAGCCAATAAGCCTGGGGGTAAGTCACTCCCATTGACATGCCAATGGCAATAAAGTCTCAACTACAATAGGAGGGTATACACAGCCCACATCGGGGGCACACCTCAAGTGCCAAGCCTAGGAGACATAGCAGCTCTACATAATTCATAGAAACAAACAGAGAAGCCGCCAAGATGAGGAGACAAACATGTCCCAATTGAAAGAACAGAACAAAACTCCAGAAAAGGAACTAAATAAGATGGAGACAAGCAATCTACCACATACAGAGTTCAAAGCACTGGTTATATGGATGCTCAATGAACTTAGGGGGAGAGTAGATGAAATGCATAAGAACTTCAACAAAAAGACAGGGAACATAAAAATGGAACTAGAAAACATAAAAAAGAACCAGTCAGAAATGAAGAATACAGTAATTGAAATGAAGACTACATTACAGGGAATCAACAGTGGAGGAGATGAAGCTGAGGATAAAATCAGAGATGTGGAAGATAAGGAAGCAGAAAATACCTAATCATAACAGTAAAAAGAAAAAGAATCCAAAATAATGATAGTATAAGGAGCCTCTGGGACAATTTCAAATGTTCCAACATTTGCATCATGAGGGCCACAGAAGGAGGAGAGAGAGAGAGCAAGGAATTGAAAACCTATGTGAAAATATAATGACAAAAAATTTCCCTAACCTGGTGAAAGATATAGACATATAAGTCCAGCAAGCAAAGAGAGTCCCAAACAAGATGAACCCAAAGAGACATCATAATTAAATTAAAATCCAAAGAGACATCAAGATGAACCCACAACAAGACACATAATTAAAATGCCAAAGGTTAAAGACAAAGAGTGAATCTTTTTTTTTTTTTAAATATATCTTTACTGATTTCAGAGAGAGGAAGGGAGAGGGAGAGAGAGAGAGATAGAAACATCAGTGATGAGAGAGTCATCACTGATTGGCTGCCTCCTGCACGCCCCTGACTGGGAATTGAGCCTGCAATCTAGGCATGTGCCCTGACCAGGAATTGAACCTCGATCTCCTGGATCCTAGATTGATGCTCAACCACTGAGCCACGCCCTGCCAGGCCAAAGAATGAATATTAAAAGCAGCAAGAGAAAATTAGTTATTTATGAGGGAGCTCCCATAAGACTATTAGCTGATTTCTCAACAGAAACTTTGCGGACCAGAAGGGATTGGCAAGAAATGTGAAAACCTAAGAGAATGGCAAAAAATGGCAATTATTAACCCTTGGAAAGAGTGAAGTAATTCCAGAAATGCAATTCTAGAATTATACTAGACTCAGCTGTGAACACTATTTACTTAATTTATCATTATAATTAATTAATTTAACTAATTAATTTATAACAATGAAAAAATTAGGGAGTAGGGGAAGTGTGGAGAGATAGGTGGAATAGGAGCACTAAATCTTTATCTTCATAAACAATTTATAATGTTTAAAAGTGATAAATCTAGAAACAGACAACTATGTTNTACAGTAGGAACACAATTTATAATGTTTAAAAGTGATAAATCTAGAAACAGACAACTATGTTTTGTAGATACAAGCATAAAAAATCCAGAAGTTACAGCTACAAAAAAAAAAAAAGGAAAGTGGTTTGCAGGGCAAATATTTGGAGGTAGGGAGTGAGGGGTATGCAGCTTTAAATCTTATCACTATACTTGATTTCCAAAGTATGTACATGTATTACTTCGATTAAAAACTTTTCAAAAATGTGTATTTTTAAGCTAGTTAGATCACTTTCTTTTTCTTTTACTAAAAACATTAGGATAATACATGAAAGATAGAGATAGACATAGAGATAAAGAGAGATAGACATAGATACATACATACATATATACATACATAGTGATGAGAGATAAGAGAAAGAGAGACTTCAAAAGATTANGATAGATAGATACATACATACATACATACATACATAGTGATGAGAGATAAGAGAAAGAGAGACTTCAAAAGATTATTTACAACCTGATAACTCAGCACCAAGTGATTCACTGCCATGGTCCTGAAAAGAAGAACCTACCAGAAAGCACTGGCAGATGAAAGAAAAGTAAGGACTAATGATAAGTATCAAGGAGCCTTCAGATAAATATTTTTAAATATATACTGTAGGCAGTTCAGCATTGCACAGTGATATTTTAAATTTAAGATTTTTAATTTTTGTGGGTTTTTATCATTAAAATATAACATACATATGAAAATTAAGAAATCACAAACACACAGCTTGATGAATAATCATGACGTTAACAGGTCTTTGTAGCTACCACCTAAGCAAACAGCTAGAACATTACCAGAGCCCCAGAAGCTTCTATGATGCCAGTGATGATACTTAAGTTAACATAACAATACCTGAGCTCATGTGCCCCTGGCTTTCTCTGTATAGTGAATACAAACACATTTAGCTTCTAGTCTAAACTGTATTATGCAGCCTTATGCTTTCCTCAATTGTTTATTCA